TTCCATAAAAAATACACAGACGTTAAGTAGATTGCAATTATTGCAAATAGCTGTTGAAATAAAAGTACAATTTATCACACACTTATTTTTACATATTTGTCTTACATATGTATAGTCAGCCCCAAACATACTCACCATGTAAATATTTAGAAAGCCAATTAATTGTACAAAAGTGCTATGCGAAAAAACGACGAAACGCCAAACCGCACACAGAAATCCCTTAGGCGCATAGAGCATTAACAGTTTGAAGCACGCAGCCGCGCCGACGCCTGCTGTCAATAGCTGCCAGTGTTCTCGCAACCAGCTCACTACCAAACTTCCACAATATTCACTGGCTTCAAGCGGTGCTAAACAAATCGATACCATAACATTTGAATCGCGCTCTTCCAGGCGCTCGAACCAGCCATTCAGCAGTTGTGCCAAATGCCTTTTGAAAGGGAAGAGGACTGCGCCCATAAGAAAAGCCCAGAGTAGGGGACGTACAAATGGGCCTAAAATAAAGCAGACGGCAACAAACGCAGCAACGCCAGCTGCTATGAGAAAGTTATACATCGCTGCCTTGAACGTTTCATGGTTCTGTGACCGCATACGCATCAACTTATTGAGAACGCTGTCGAAGGAGCGATCCCGACGAATGGAGTCGGATCTATTCATTTTTAATGCTTGATTCCCGTACGCGTCTGCGTCTATAAATAAAAATTAAATTAAAAAAATGTATTTGTTAGTCATTAGTTTTACGACACGTGGCCATTTGAGAGCATCCAATGTGTTTCAGCAACAAAACAACATTGCAGCATAATTAAAAATCAGTAGATAACGTCGGCTAAAAATAACAACCTCAAAGCCATTGGTGTGTGGCTGCTACAATAGCGATGACGTATGCCACTTGTGGCCACACCTATTACCTAAAATAGGCTAGTTAGCATTTTTGGCTTGTGTTTGTGCTAAATTTTAAATTTTATACTTCTCAATGCTGCTAACCATGTTTTGAACGCAGAAATTAGTTTTCAATGAAGTTTTCTTATCAAGATTGCATCCGCCGATGACGTCATTCCAATTTATTAGCATTAAAAAGTTTTAAGCCAATTGATCATAAGGAACACTGAACTCTTTTAACTAAAATTTACGGTTTTCGTAATACTCACAATGATTTAAATGTTTTCCAAAGTATCCGACTTCTTTTCCAGTTCGCTTGCTAATTAAAGCATAATTTTTCTCACTTGCAAATCGTGTTAGTCAATAATCAATTTGTTTTGGACCATTATTTATTTTGTTTTGATTATTTAGCTTCCAGTTTCTTTAATCACAATCAGTGTTGCCGCCATTCTTTTGTCGTTGGTCTTTAGGTGTGGAAAACATCCGATTTCATGATCTACAACCAAGGCGAATCAAGGTGGTATTACTGGCGAATTTAGATTTTCGCCGTTGTGAATCAAGGTGAATTTAAACAAGGTTGGATTACTGGCGAAGTTAGATTTTCGCCGCGGTCCTTCTGAGCGTTAAAATAATGTGTTTGTTGTAAACAAGGCGAATTCATTTTACAACAAACACATCATTTTGATATAGAGAAGGTGAAAACCTAAATTCCCCGGGACAACACCTTGCATAAATTCGCCTTGGTGGTGTTGTTAGGTCAGCTGATTTCTTCGCCTTAGCTGTAGTTTGTTTTTGCTAGAAGAGTTTTTGACAGCACACCCATAAAATGCAAAAACAAAATACATGTAAACTTTGGGGCGAATTGAGAATAACACCCGCAATACAAAATACATGTGGTCGTGGTTGTTGTAATCTAAATTCGCCAGCAACACCACCACAAAATACATTTAAGGCGAATAAGTCAGCTGATCTTACAACACCACCTTGTATAAAATCGCTTTGATTGTCAATGTGCGTATAATTGGTTGTTGTAATTTTTGCTTTTGTTCTGTCAACACAACTTTGTATAAATTCGCTTTGGTGCGTAAAATCTGTTCAAGGCGAATTTATACAAGGTGGTGTTACTGGCGAATTTAGATTTTCGCTGCGGTACTTAGTAATGTCAAAATGATGTGTTTGTTGTAAACAAGGCGAATTCATATTACAACAGATACACTATTTTGACATCAATAAGTACAGCGGCGAAAACCTTAATTCGCCAGTAGCACCACCAAGGCGAATTTATACAAGGTACAGTCCAAGGCGTATTTAACAAGGTGGTGTTGGCCCTATATAAGTAAAAAATTACACTTACAAATTATACGCTGATGTCCATACTGTCATTGGTATGAGTAACAACAAACACATCATTTTGACGTAATGGCCTCCACGGCGAAAAACTCAGCTGTCGCCGCAACACCACCTTGTTTAATACACCTTAGTACAGTCTTTTACAAAAGCAGTCTTATAATTATTCACCATGTTGAGAACAAAGGTGGAGCATTTCTCAAACCGTTTCTTCAGTGTTGCCGATTTTGACAATTCTCAAGTAAAAATAAACAAGGCTTCGAAAACTTTAAACGAACTGAAATTCCCTAATACTTCCACAAAAATCACAATTTATTTCATTTTTTTTATTAATTCACACACTTAGCAACATACTTATCACACATGACCTTCAAAAGTTCAACAACTCAGATTTTGGGATTTTTGAAATTATGCACTAAGAATGTACACAGAGATTCTATTTACCTTCCCTCAAAAGCTGGGGCAAATTTTTGTTATAATTTGGTGTAAAAACCGAAGGTAAGGTCTCCTTTGCGAGATCGAGTGCGATATCTAGTTAGAGGATGTTTTCTGTTTTATACCTACCAAAATTTTAAGCGTCCTACCAACGAGGAAAGAACCACCGATTTTGGTAGGAAAAGATGACAACGGTAACCCTGATTGCAACCCAGCTGAAAAGCCTTGACAAATATCGCTATCATTTTCATGTTGAGTACTTTGCCATCACATTCAAATAACCGGTTCAATCACAGCCGGCATACAAATTGATCCGCACTAATTTATATTCGACGGCATTTTTGATGGAATTTCGTGACTTAAATTTCTCGTGGAGTTGGTGTTTCATAAGATAAAGTTTAATTGGAAACAGAAAAATGAAAATCTTTCACTTTATTCTGGTGATAATGCTTTTGCAGCTGCAATTGGCTGTTGGAGATAAAAAACAAAGTAAAAAGTATTCTCGAGAAGCAAACGAGCAGCAATACTCCCGGCAAAAACTACAAAAGATTAGCAAGAATTCTGATGAGGGGGAACGGAAACTTACAACTGAACGCTATGACCCTGACTTCCGCAATCTACAGCGACCTTTTCGGATTGCCAAATTAAATCTGGTCTGGGCCAAAGCACAAAATGTAAGTTAAAGCACATTTTTATGGCACGTTTATTTAAAACAGTATTTACCCCAGCGATTGACTGAGCCAAAACTGAAGTCTTTGTACATGGAGCTTAAGATACAAGATAAAGAAGAAATAGCATGGAAGCAATTAAGCTCTCAGCATAAGGACAAGGATGGCGTTAAAGAGGCTGAGCTGAGGCAAAAATTGATTGGAATAATGAGCACGTATGACTTGCTGGAACATTTCGAGGAAACCCAGGACAAAGATAAAGTCAAACCTTATAAGGTAATAAATATAAAAAAGTAATTGGGTTTTACCCAGAAAAAGATTGGGAACAATTCCAAAAAATTCACAAAAACAAAAAATATATATGTATATACCATGATAAAAACAATGTTTTTATCATGGTATATACGTACATACATACATATATATTAGAAAAGGCGGGTTTTAATGGACTAAAGATTACCGTATGATAAACGGCTTGCAACCAATCGATGGGGGGTCGTGCAAAGACATCGACAATATTTTTTTATGCTGAGCTGAGGTTCTCTGCACTTATGCCAAAATGTGATTGCTGAAAGTAAGTGATGTATGTATATTAATAAAAATTGGCCTTCTAGAAATTCCATGATCCCGACGATAGTCATTTGAATAAGAGTGCATTCAAAGATAAAAAACTCAATCGTCTGTGGGCAAAGGCCGAGGTATCAGGTTTCACCAAAGAAGAACTGGATTCACTTAAGCAAGAGTTTCAGCATCATCAGGATAAAGTGGACGTTTACTATAGTTTATTAGAAGATATTGGTACCGCGGATGTTAAAAAACATGAAAGTAAGTTTCTTTTTCACAAGCATATGTTTTGTTGTTAACACACTAATTGCGTATTTTCTCAGATGCAATAAATGAAGATGAACTAGAGATATTTAATACGATTTCAAGTGATCCTAACGACAATGAAATTAACACACCTGAAATGAATTTAAAAAAATACGAGACTGATATCAACAAGCTACGTGATCATCATCGTGGCATTAAGGATCATTATGATCGCTTGGAGCGTTTGATTTCATCGGGGCCGCACAGTCAAGACTTTATTGAGCCAAAAGTACAAGGCTTATGGCGGGTTGCTCAAGCTAGCAACTTTACTGAAAAGGAATTAAGTTCTATTAAAAACGAATTACATCATTTTGAAAGCAGGCTATTAAAATTGCGAAATCTTCACGTTGAGCACGCGATGCAAAAGGAGAAGTACAAGGTGGGTGGTATTTTGAATAAATGAAGCAGACATATTTTTAATATTTGGTATTTTCTAGGATGAAAAGCACAAGGACAAAAGTGGCCGTTTCGACGAAATGGAAGATCATATTAAAAAACAAACTCGAAAAGTTGAGAAAATTCAAGATACCATAGAAAAGACAATTTTTCGACACACTGAGCTGTAGTGCTACCCGGCTTCACTATTTGAAAATTAAAGTTGGAATATCTCAAAGTTATTTTTAAGTAAAAGAAGGCCAAATTTGAATGTAGTTTTATAGTGAATGTATATACTAACATATTAACATTTTCTTAGTTTTTTGATATTGTTGAATATAAAAATTTGTGCCAGAAGCACTTATACAAAAAATAAAAAAACATATATAGTTTCATAAAACTTTTTATTTAAGTTAATTTTTCGACAAGAATGCACGCAGCTAGTTAACCAAGGAATCAAAAGGCATGAGTAGTACAGTTAAAATTATTAAAAAAAATGGATCTATTGAAAATTCTTATTTAGTAGAACCAAAGGAAAAAAGTAGAACTAAAGGAAAAAAGTAGAACTAAAGGAAAAAAGTAGAACTAAAGGAAAAAAGCAAAATTTAAGAAAAAAACATTGCTGGTAACCCCATGTTGGAATTATTTGAACTTCCCTGAGCTCTTAACTACAGTTAAGCCTTTGGTGGAAATAGGCTGTAACACTCACGCAACGGCACGCTATATCTTGAGTGGTTATGGTGATCGCCTCAAGTGTAACTTTTACATATCTTTGCTGCTCATTCAAATCCGGCGGTTACCTCAAAGCTTGCACCAATCACTTTCAGGGAAAAATGCTTGGTTGTTTATTTATAAATTTTGATTTAAACCGCTCCTGGAGTGACTTGACAGTTGTTTGGTGGTAGTAGTTCACAAATATGCATTTTTACTAACCCAAGCAAACATTTATTTTATCCCTGTGGAGAAAATCTCTAGTTCTGAACTGGTGCGCTTCTATTACATATAGATCCAGTACTGGGTCGCGACAAATCTTCTTGCATGCAAGCAACTGGCGAATTTAACATGGCGATGTCATAGGAAGTGTCGAGTGCGGAAGTGGAAGTGCTGCTTCCCTTTTTGGATAGTTCCGAACTAGTCCTAAATTCTATAGTTCAGAACCGGTTCTAAAATCGACAGACGAAAGAAAAAAGAATCATGATTTTTCAATCTATTTGGTTCTTCCGTATGTGCGATTTAAATTATTTTGAAAGAAATGTGCTTTCAATTGAACGAAAAAGCCGCCAAGGTTTTCAGCCAATCAGCGCTCGATTCACCTAAAATTTTTATAACTGCATTAACGCTGAAAGCCACGACACCAGAAACGCTTGGTAAGGATTTCAAGCCGATGGCCGAAGAAATACATTTGTCGATTGCGGGTCGTTTTAAGAACATGGTACTGTCTTATGGCTAATTGCATTTGGAAATACATCTCCATCGATACAAAGCTCAGGCCACAAAACAAGTGATCTGATCATTCAGTGTCATGGATGTCATTTGAACACTGAGATCATTCGACTTGGCACCATTGGATTTTTTATGAGGCTATTCTAAAAAATCAACGGTAATTTTTAGCGATTTAAAACTTGGACTTTATTCTACTCGAATTCAATGGGTTACACAATTTTTTATCCAGAATATTTCTAGGAAATCTAATTAAAAAACCTGGTGGTTTTTATGAAAGTTTGTTGATTTCTTTTCAATATTGAAAAAAGTTTGAAACTTGGATTCACACGGGTTCTGCTCAAGAAAGAACTATATTAAAAAAAACTAAAATTAACATAAAAAATTATATGTTAAACTTTTCAAAATTTGGTACGGCTATAATTTTTCGACCACTGTATGTCAACAAGTAGCCGAATGTCGTAGCTACAATTTTGTTAACATACATATTTACATAGAATTTAACTCATATGTTTGGTTGTCGGGCACAATGTAAAATTGATGGTAATTGCAAAGCTGACAAACTGACGGAAAGGTACGACCACCCAAAACCTTCCGGGAAAGGACACGGTAGATATAGCAATAGCCACTTTCAAGCAGTTNTGTATGTCAACAAGTAGCCGAATGTCGTAGCTTTTTGAATGATAACATACATATTTACATAGAATTTAACTCATATGTTTGGTTGTCGGGCACAATGTAAAATTGATGGTAATTGCAAAGCTGACAAACTGACGGAAAGGTACGACCACCCAAAACCTTCCGGGAAAGGACACGGTAGATATAGCAATAGCCACTTTCAAGCAGTTTGTTATAGATCACACCAGTCTATTAACACTGGAACAACTTTTCGTCGTTCAGGATTATCTGGTATTTATATAAAAATAAACGCTTACGGGCCACTTCCTAATGTGGAAACAGAACCTTTATTGACCTATGTCATATGTAGGAGCGAATCGAAAAAGTTACCAAATTGAAAAACAAATTACCAAATTTGTTAAATAAAGAAAAAAAAAAACAATTTTGTTTAAAACCAAATCGGCAACGCTGGTCATTACTTGTCAAAAAGTATCGAGTACTCAATACCACTCAGTTCTCGCTGAAAGTATCGATATACCGTAATCGGAACACGTATCGTTCTATCACTATGTATAGTTCGTCATCGTTGTGTTGCGGTTGAAAAATGTGAGCTCATATTTATTGCAAATAAATATACGTGAAATTATTATTATACACGTTTAAAAACCTGGCAAAAAGTGTTTTTAGATTTTGGGTAAGGTTATCCATGGGTTGGGTGACTGGGAAATGGTGTTTTGGAAACCCAGTTGCTGAAAGGAAATCGCACGACAGGGCGCTCCCAATTTAACTGCAGCTCGCCTCAACGCCAGCGTCGACGTCGGCGTCGACGTCCGCGTTGACTTCTATTGACAAATCGACAGTGAATACGTTTTGAGCGACAACACCCGCGAAGAAGTTATCCCATATACAGCTAAAACATTTTGATAACGTAAATTTCTTATAAATTTCAGTGGTCTTTTCCTGACGGTTACCGTATGGTCGGTCATGGCCAGTGAAAACATAATGGACGAATTAGCATCATTGATTCGTACGGAAATTCCGGATGGCAGACAAAGTTTGCGCGATAGCTATACAAATTTGGAGCGCGTGGCGGATTATTGTGAGGACACTTATTATCGGTAAGTAAAGGGTGAATTTAACAGTATACATACATTGAACTCTTGAAAATCGGTTCTTTCAGTGAGGAGAACAAAAAAGCGGCCCTAGAGGCTACAAAAAACTATACTACGCAATCGTTGGCCAGTGTGGCGTACCAAATTAATACCCTCGCCTACAGTTATATGCAGCTTTTAGAGCTACAAGCACAACAATTATGTGAGATGGAATCACAAATGAATCATATTGCACAAACAGTGCAGATCCACAAAGAAAAGGTGGCTCGTAGGTAAGAACATCAAAATTTTCAAAACATTTTATTGTAAGGCTTAAATTTAATGTATATCTTTTTTGCAGAGAAATTGGTGTTCTAACTGCAAATAAAGTTAGTTCGCGTCAATTTAAAATCGTGGCGCCGATTAATCCAGAAAAACCAATAAAGTATGTTCGCAAACCAATTGATTATTCGATACTGGATGATATTGGTCATGGCGTTAATTCTACTAATACGCGTCAGCAGAAGCACCGTGGCTCGAGTCATGGCTCCATACAATCATTAGCGACATCTTCGCTGGCACCATCTGTCGGTCCGCCACCGACCACAAAACCACCGACTCCACCGCAAATGACACGTGGCAACACAGGCACACTGGGTAAATCTTCAATGAGCAATACCGGCACACTTGGCAAAAGCTCGCGAGAATATCGTACGCCACCAGTTGTCAATCCGCCGCAAGTGCCTTCGCACTATGCGCCCAACTATCCAATTGGTCATCCAAAACGTATGTCATCAGCTTCATCAAGTACAACGGTCACTGGAATAAGCAGCACTGGAATTGGTGGAGCGGGTAGTATTACCGGCGTGCCAACTGGTGGTAGTGAGCGCGAGCGCGGCGGTGGCTATAGTGCGTTGCCAATGCCGCCTAGTCAGCAAATAGCAACACATGTCAATTTACCATCAGCAGGCATGATGCAATCATTGCCACCACCACCACCAACAACATATGATGATCGAAGCAGTATGCCACGTAAGTAAATATATAAAACATGCAGGAATGAAATAAATAAAATGCATTTGTTTAAATTTTTCAAATTATTTAGCGCCACCATCGCCACTTACTGTTTCACAGCACGAAATTAGCGAACAAAGTCATATTGGCATGCATACATTGGGGAGAAATCACAACAGGTAAGAAATTGTGTATATATATTATATCTATCATGCGCTGTTAACCAATAACCTGCAAGTTACTCAAATTAAATGCTTCATAATTTCATAGTTTCCGTTAACACTGTGGTTGATGGTAGCTCTTTTATTCTTAGTTTAATATATTTATTGCCCATGATATCCAGACTAAGCCATTCTCACTTTACTTTCTTTGTTTATATTTTGCTCGCTTCGAAGAAATGGCAACAGGTAAAAATAATTTGAAGGCTAATCATTTTTAAGAAGAAAAAATCCGTTTTTATTTGCAAAGTTTTCAGTTGTTATTTAATAAGCCAATAGCCCTACATATCTTTCTCGATATATTATCTTTTGATATTATATCGAGAGTGTACTTGGTATGACCGTACTTAATGCTGATAAGATTTAACTGATTTATTTTTTTAAATTTTTAACAACATCATTTTAAAGTTTACACCAATCAGTGCTATTCAGAAAAAAACTATTTTCTCGTTTTTAAAGAAACAATTTCAGTTTGAACTTTGCACGACCCGGCTCTCAGTCGCCTCCCTTGCCACCTCCACCACCGCCGGAGGAGGAGCATCAGGACTTTGGGCGACCACGTACGTCCACGGGACAAGGCCAATTAGCTCCTATCGTGCCAGAGGATCAAAATTTACCCGGTTGGGTTCCAAAGAACTACATCGAAAAAGGTATGTGGGCTGAAAATTTCTCAGTACTTGTATATACATACATACATATCGTCGTTTAAAGTACAGAACCGCGTATCGTGGTTGTGCAAACTCTCGTAACTGACATTTGTGCCAAAAAAGATATTTGCTCCCCGGAAACTCCTGGCATCAAGCCCTTATTCATTCATACTAAAATATCGATAGAAAAAGAGATAATTATGGATGAAAGAGAGGACCGTTTTGAAATAAGACAAGTTTTACTCATTTCCGCTGTTGAAGTTGTTGAGGTAACGAGGGATGAGGGAAAATCGTTCCAAAATACATCAGAAGTTTAATTCTCCTATAAAATTCGGGCAATCTCACATACCGAGGTTTTGCATTTTCTTGATACGNTTTTTAACAACATCATTTTAAAGTTTACACCAATCAGTGCTATTCAGAAAAAAACTATTTTCTCGTTTTTAAAGAAACAATTTCAGTTTGAACTTTGCACGACCCGGCTCTCAGTCGCCTCCCTTGCCACCTCCACCACCGCCGGAGGAGGAGCATCAGGACTTTGGGCGCCCACGTACGTCCACGGGACAAGGCCAGTTAGCTCCTATCGTACCAGAGGATCAAAATTTACCCGGTTGGGTTCCAAAGAACTACATCGAAAAAGGTATGTGGGCTGAAAATTTCTCAATACTTGTATATACATACATACATATCGTCGTTTAAAGTACAGAACCGCGTATCGTGGTTGTGCAAACTCTCGTAACTGACATTTGTGCCAAAAAAGATATTTGCTCCCCGGAAACTCCTGGCATCAAGCCCTTATTCATTCATACTAAAATATCGATAGAAAAAGAGATAATTATGGATGAAAGAGAGGACCGTTTTGAAATAAGACAAGTTTTACTCATTTCCGCTGTTGAAGTTGTTGAGGTAACGAGGGATGAGGGAAAATCGTTCCAAAATACATCAGAAGTTTAATTCTCCTATAAAATTCGGGCAATCTCACATACCGAGGTTTTGCATTTTCTTGATACGCGGTTTTGTACTTTAAACGACGATATATGAAAAAAACTATTTTTTTTCGTAATTACAGTTGTCGCAATTTATGATTACTATGCCGATAAAGATGATGAATTGAGTTTTCAAGAAAGTTCTGTATTGTATGTGCTAAAGAAGAATGATGACGGCTGGTGGGAAGGTGTTATGGATGGTGTGACCGGTCTGTTNTTAGAAAAAGAGATAATTATGGATGAAAGAGAGGACCGTTTTGAAATAAGACAAGTTTTACTCATTTCCGCTGTTGAAGTTGTTGTGGTAACGAGGGATGAGGGAAAATCGTTCCAAAATACATCAGAAGTTTAATTCTCCTATAAAATTCGGGCAATCTCACATACCGAGGTTTTGCATTTTCTTGATACGCGGTTTTGTACTTTAAATGACGATATATGAAAAAAAAACTATTTTTTTTTTTGTAATTACAGTTGTAGCAATTTATGATTACTATGCCGATAAAGATGATGAATTGAGTTTTCAAGAAAGTTCTGTATTGTATGTGCTAAAGAAGAATGATGACGGCTGGTGGGAAGGTGTTATGGATGGTGTGACCGGTCTGTTTCCGGGCAATTACGTTGAACCATGTGTGTAAGCGGAAGAAGCGTGTCAAAAGCACTTAGTATTTTTTAAGTGAATTTAAAGGCAAATAAAAAAAAACTTCACGCAATTGCATGCACATACATATACACTGCCCGATTCAAGTGTTAGCCGTAAAACCGAATAGAAAGTATTTGTACCCTTAACAGCAACACATACCTATTAACATGATGATAAGATAAGTGTTTGAAAACGTTACAAAATTTTCCATTTTCAACTTCAATAGCATTAAGGAGACTACGTTATATTGGACGTAGGCTCTGTAGTTTAAAATTATTAAATTAAATTAAGTATAAAGTGGATGAAACGAAAGTTTAATGTTTTGCCTTTTTGGTTAGATATCGGCTTATAAGCAGCACAGAACTGAAATAGGCAAAATTAAAAGGCAAACATTAAACATAGCAGAAATCATTTTTATAGCATATTTTCTACCCTATCCAGATAAATGAAGCACAGATAAATAAAGAAAAAAAATATCATAGAGAACAATAATATACATACTAGCCGCAATTAACTGAATTAATTCAATTATGTATTTTATCTAAAGTATAGTATATGTAAATGAAGCGCAAAAATACTCGCAACAATTCCTTTTTATACGCCTATGTTGTAAAATTTTATTGATATTCATGCTACTACAATATATGTACTTATGTATATCGTCGTTTAAAGTACAAAACGAAAGCGTATCGTCATACTGCAAAACCGCGTAACTGCTGCCAAAAATTGGATTTGCTCATACAAGCTCTTGGCTCAATCCTTATCTATTCGCCCTGAAATTTACTTGCCAGAAATGCGATTGCTTTATAAAAAAGAGAACCATTTTGAAATATGAGTGTTTTTACCCTCTAGAAAATAATTTCTAAAACTTCACATACGCGGTTTTGCATCATTTTGATACGCCGTTTTGTACATTAAACGACGATATGTATATTTATATACCGTTTTCATTTACCAACGACACTTGATTCGTTTATATGTTCTTCCAAATGAAGTAAAAACTCGTATGTGGTAAACGCAATCGTGTGCTAAAACGAAGTAATGAGTGAAATGAAAAGTGATTTTCCAAATGTGTAAATTAATATTCAATTTGTCCTACTTGATTGAAAATTAATATCTGTTCATGAGTATTACTTTCAAGTGGTTATGCTCGCTTTCAGAAGGTTCCCTAATACTATTTACCGCGCAAAGTCAGTATAATTGAAAGTTCGCACACGGCGTAAAACTATTGTATGCAATGCATTTTTATAAAAATTATTTAATGTTGGCATTTCTGTACACAATTTTTTTTTTTTTTTTAATAAATGAAATGCATATTTGTGTGTTCGTAAGGAATAGTAGGTTATGCCGAAAGGCCGGCTTTAGTATAATGCGGCATTCGCAGCATACGATTGCGAATGACTCACTGGCGCCGAGTCGTTGAAGAACTTTTGGCAAATAAACGTGCAAGAAATAGTTCCGATACTAGCAAATCAATATTCTTATTAAATCTCATCAACAAATTCCTTGTCGTTTAAAGAATAAAGGGAATGTAGCATTATACTAAGCCAGCTTCCCGACATAAGCTACTATTCCATACGAACACAGATATATTTTATTACCTCTTGGTATAGCTTATGCTCAATTATAATTATTAAATATTCACAAGTCCAGCTGCACTGGTGGCGAGTTTTAAGAACCATTGCAGTTGGATTATAAAGCCTTTGCTATGCTATAATTTCATTTATTTAGTTAACGTGAATTTATTGCAAATAATACAAGAATATAAAAATAAAAAAGAAATGATAATTACACATACGTACACATATTATTATTATTACTATTATATTAGCTTAGATAATACAAATAATCACAATGGAAATGATTGCTAAAGATGAAAAAATAAAATATACAGTATATGCATAATATAGGGGTTTCTATAAGAAATTTTTGGGAGTAAAATAGTACTTGATACAGTTTGAAAATAGTATAAACATTATGGGCTGCTGTTTCGGCCATCCAACCATGTTGAGACCGGCGAACCCTACATATGGTTAAAGGATTGTTTGTAAGGAATATGAGTCTTACAGACTAACTGAATTGGACTGCAGAGTAAGAGCGAAGAGACTACCGCCTTTATGGATCGGTATAGTATATTAGTAGAGTTGCGATGCAAGAACTGAAATTATGTAGCAACTGAGACACTAGTGGAGGCTAGCGTTCGCTGTTGTTGTTGTAGCGCCACTTTCAAGTCTCGACTATTTCGGTTTGTCTATCAATTATTGTCGTCGAGCTCAACTAACGGTGGACCCGAGAAATGGGCAGTTTCAACAGGGTCGAACCAAAGAGAGGGGGGTGTTAGTTGAGTGGAGTTGAGCTGGCATGTGAAGGGGTGGTTGGTGCCGTGCGTGGAGTCTCCACATGCCGGACACTCATTGGGAATATTGCGGTCGGATCTGTTGAGACGGCTACAGTATCTAGACCATAACTAGGCCAGTGTTCGTCTTACTATGCAGTATCGTCTCATCGAAAAAGACATCTATCGCAGGGCAGGTTATCTGGTTAATCGAGATTGCGCTCACAATATTAAACCTAAACCTATTAACCTATTAAACCTAGGCGGTTAATTTGCAAGGGAATGCTTTATACCATCCGGTAGACTCGCCGAAATCCACGCATTATTCTTACTTAAATGAGTACGATTATTTACGCCAGATCGACAATTGGTAAATCAACAGCGAGTGACAAGATTGCTGTACAACTTCCCAAATCTTACTTTCAACAGCGGTGAAGTCCAGGTGGCCAATCGGGAAAGTAATAGCCTCTAAAACCCTTGACACCGACTAGAAGAAGAAGGCTCCACTAAGGTCTTCAATCTGTCGCTGTACACTTGAAGGCAGCAGTGGATACAGCTCAGATTTTACCATTCATAAACTTTACGTGCAACTCAAACCCTGCTGCGCATCAACATATCTTCCGTAAAGTGAACAACACCACCAACCCTTACGTCATACACACTCAGATATCTCGTGATCTTATTCGAGTCTGTTTCCGTGAAATCACCGCTCGAGTAGCGTTGTCTCTCAACGAGGACATTGAGACATCTTCTCTTCCACCGAAACTAAAAGGGCGGACGGCAAATAATCTGGGTGTACGGCTGTTCTCAGTACTCTTTTGAGATCATATTTCGAAGCCAGGAAGAATTAAACAAGCGGTTGCAAAGGGTGTATTCTCTTTTCTTCTATTGCTTAACTTCTACATGTCGAAGCTTCACTTAAGAAAAGAAAAAAAAAATGGAATAATAAACAAATATAGGCAAATAAGTAATTGAGATACACTTCGGGCCTAATNTAAAATGGAATAAACAAATATAGGCAAATAAGTAATTGAGATACACTTCGGGCCTAATCCTGGATTCTAAGCTTCTGTAGAGGTCCCACGTCGACGTGACCATATCAAAGGCTATAAGGGCACTAATGGAGTGTAGGCAAGTCTTGGAAATGCTGCCCAAAGATCTTTAGACGGATGTACCCCATGATAGCACGACTAATAGTGACCTATGGGGCGGTGGCTTCGGTTGCAAGAACTGCCTTGGCCCCGATGAGACAGTGTCTCAATAAACTGCAACATCTAGCTTGTGTATGTATTACTGGAGCAATGCGCACATTCCCGATATCAGCTGTAGAGGTACATAGTTCTTGAGCTTCAGTTACACCACATCACCATAGATAGAGATATGGTTTTGCTAGAGGCAAGATCCTATCGTCTAGGAATATGGAGAAGCTAGGATCCCAGCTCCCACTAGCCCTCTTCCCCATAGATAATATGAGTAACGTAATTGTTTTCGGAAGGAAATTTAAAATAGAGCTTTGCACTAGGGTGACCTGAAACAACCCAAGCTTGGATGGATATATACAGGTCGGACCCATGTAGTGGCAAACTGACGGCTCCAAAAGACCAAAAGATATTGGAGCAGGCAGGGTTAATTTAAGGTATAATCATCCTTTGTGATAAAATCATCATTAGTCCTTCAGTGCATTGAGAACCTGAATATCCTTGTCGAATTCAATAACATCCAGCTACTGTGGGTGCCAGATCACAAAGGTTATGTGGCGGAATAAGATAGTAGCGGCGTAGCCAGAACCGCAGTGACCTTGCTTCCCATAGAAAACGAATAATAGGTATGAGAAAACAACACTGGAATCCTTGGGATTAAAAGATGTGTTGTGATGAGCGGAGGGCACAATAGACTCACTAGACTCAGGTCGCGGAGCATATCTCATTCAAACATCTATCTATTTACACTTCCGCTAAGTTCAAGTGCATCAATGCAAAGCATCAGCCTCTTATTTCTGATCCTTTTGCATTGGAGCAACTTGGAACTCAGCCTTCTCTATTTTGAGCTGATGGTTTTATAGCAAAATCAAATCTCAAAAAAAGTAAAATCCCAATTTGCTTTTGTGCGCATTTATTCGAAAATTCACTCCTACTGATCTACAATCAATTGCTAATCAAGCAAAGCTACGCATTATCTTCATGAATTGCTTTCTTTATGCTTGTACATACTTGCAAGTTCATGTTAATTTAACTTTTCTTCGAAACATAAAAAACAAATAGTACTAAAATTGACAATTAATTTTCCCTGAGCAAAAACTTAGCATTTGCAGCCGATAAATATCTAGAACTTATTTGCCTTCAGCTCCTTTGCTGTCGGATTGCTCCTTGCCGGGTCTAAGTGTTGGGCGCATGCTTGGTCATTCGTATTGAGGTACCGCGCCGGGTAGCCGGTGCAGCGGTCGCTGGTAATTTCGGTAAGCGCGGATTGACAAGTGGTCCCATATGCCTATCGGGTCCGTCTTGAAACGCGCTGAGAATTTGGTTGTCAATTAGTGGTAGCGGCGAACCAGGTGACCATTCGGAGCTGGAACTGGAGCCGGGTGATTCGGAACTGAAAATAATATGAAATGTAAACCTTGACGACCAAAAACTAGCTGGTTAGGATTATATTATTCGAAGCTTGCGTTGCGTTGTACACAAGTAGAAGAGTAATAATTTCCTCTTCACTTTAAAAGTTCTTCATTTGCTAAAAGTTTCACAAGTACGCCATATCCAAATACTTACCCCGCTGTGTAGATAGGCGGTAATTTGCGTTCATATGAGGTAGCCGGTGTAACAACACCGGCGTGTATCTCTTGCTGGTACAAGCCATAAAGTTCGCGTAGTTCATCGGGCAGCTCGACATTGCCCTCTTCTATAAGTCGACGCTGTGAGCTGATAATATCCTCACATAGTCTACGTTGGCGTTCGGCGCGTAACAGCTGCAGATCACGCCTTCGAAGTTCGGCTTGACGGGCCAGGCGCTCAGCTTGCAAAGACACTTTATCCGCTTCTAGCTCGTGAACACGGCAAAGTAGCGCCAGTAGTTCACGTTCTTCATCGCTGGTAATACGCTCTGGTAGCTCCTGTTGGGTTGGGGTCATTGATATTTTTACTAGGTATTACTTCTTTTGGAAATATGTTGGTTCACAGATATACTTACATCTTCCAATTGCACGCCTTTCTGCCGACATAACTCCAACTCTTGCTCAGTGCGCTCACGTATTTCTTTGTAGCGGCGTGTCTCCTTCTCGATTGCCGATAGTTCGCCCCAAGCGTTCTTTAGCGCTATCGCGCCTTCAGACTCTATATCTTTTGTGTAAAAAAGTAAAGAAAATTTCAAAAATCATAATTTGCTTATTTAGTCTACATAGTTTTCTTTTTTGTTCAAACAATTTCAACAACAATTGCAACAATCATCCTTACCATCATCAGCTGGTGTGTCGTAGAGCTTCCCCATTCGTCCTTGCCAGTGCGAAATGATCATATGCTGGCGCTCAGCATCCAGCTCTAGTCCTAGCAGGTGGCTTTCGGCTTCGAGTAATTTGCGTCGCAGTTTCATTTGTTGCTTGAAGGTGAGCACGATTTGTTCTCGCAAATAGCGTAGTTCGGTCTTTCGCTTTTCATCCTCTTCGGTGGAGCGTGCTGGTTGTGCTGCTGCAGCCGCCGCTGCTCCGCTACGTGGCCGTTCAGTTAACATTTTACTACGCAAGCGCGTCACTTCCTCGCGCAACTCGGATACAAGGTTTTGATAATGTTTTGTGGGAAAGTCTTTGACCTCATCAAGATAGACAGAGTTCTGCAGTCGCGTGGAAATGCTATTTGCGCGATCTGCATATACGAGTGTATTTTTTGTTTCATCACGATGCTTGCCCTCGGGAGCGACGTGCGCAATCATCACGGTCTTGCATTTGCCACTCAATGCCTCCTTTAATAGACGGGTAAGTTTCGAGTCGCGGTAATTCACGTAACGCGCTCCACCCGAAAGCGCATTAATGCAATTTCCCAATGCCAGCAGACTGCGGTTGATATGTGCACCTTCTTGCAAACGTTTGCCACGGTTTTTTGTCTTCTTAGCTCGCTCTGAGCCAGCAAGATCGGTGAGGAATAGACGACCTTGTTTTGTACCCAAAGGGGTTTTGGTTTGCACGGTAATACTGAGGAGTGCATGGCTGCGAGATGAAGTTTGATTAGCCGCTGTCGGCTCCATGGTACGAGCTTTGTTGCCCTTAAGCAGCAATGAGACGACCTCTTGCCGACTTATGGTGGTAATCTCCGACAGGCCGGCGACAGTAATGCGTTGTCCACGATTATCTTCGCGAAGTTCTAGCGGACCGCCAGGATTTAAGAGATCTCGAATGAGCTCATTATATATTTCCAAGTAGGAAATTGATACCTATAAGGAGATCATATGAATTTACATATTTGCGATAAAAGTAATAAATCAGGCTAACCTTGCTACTATTATTCGGCGCGTTGTCGATATTTTGAAATATTTCTTCGATGGCTCGAACCATCAGACCACTTTCGTTGCTATTGGCATCGGCGTCGTATGAGGCGGTTGCGCCACGTTCAGTAGCCGTTGATGTTGTTTTCTTACGACAAGGCCCCAGCATGGTGTGTGTTTTTCCAGAACCCGTGGCGCCATAAGCAAATACAGCGGCATTGTAACCATTAATTACATCCCTGACCAGAGGCGCTGTGGTTTTTTTGTATACCTTTTCCTGATTTACAAAAACAAAAAAGTTAATTTTAAACTCTAAGTATTATCTTTTAACAGATCAAATACTATATAATTAAAATATAAAGACCAGCAAGGTGGTATCCAATTTGTGAGGGTTTCAGCGAAGAAAACAACAATTTTTTACAGGCCTTTGGGTTGGTAAATAGATATAAAAATAGCCGGGTTAATTATAGTCACATTACCGCTTAGGATGATTTCAGTGGATGTTAAAGGCGTGCCTAAGTTTGATCTTCATGACCTGAGGTTGACGGCCTCTGTGTTTGAGTCTGATTAGGTTAGTAAACAAAAAAACAGGACCTAAAGAGATATTTTCACCGAATCCAATATAGCACGCCAGCCGCTTTTTTCTCGATAACCTGCGCCAGTTAGAAATACCCAGTAAAGCCAAGGCTCTTTACACATGGCCTTTCAAAAGCAGAGGGGGCTTTTCTCTACTATCTCAAAAGTATATCACATCGAATACTTTCAGGACAAGAGTATCTTAATTTCTACGCTGTGTCTAGCTTTGAAAATGCGTAGAACGTCTTTTATCTGCCAACAAATCTTTCTCTAGATCACTCTTAAGGCCGCCACATCGAACGTTGGTCTTTGTTAAGGTTCCTCACTATAGATAAGGACGAGCTTGTTGATAGCTATATAAAGTTTGGTTTGAGCAGTTCATTCTGTCGGCCTGTATGAAACACCGTTTGGTATCAAACGGTTCGGAGAGGTCCTTCTCAATTCTGACGGTACTGGTGCTATTGCTCAATGGCTTTGAAATTGACAAATAGACGATGCTATTCTGTGAGTCTTTTCCAATATTTGGCGTTTGGTGAATACCTGGTCTACGGTGTATTTGCCAGGTCTAAAGTCACACTGATAAGACCTTGTAACCTATGCTTAGAAGGCTGATCCCACGGTAGTTGTCATGTATTGCGGAGTCATATTTCTTGTGGATTAAATACCAGTCGTCCGGTATCCGTTCATCTGACCATATTCTGCATAAGAGGTTATGCATGAATATTTTCAACGCCTCGCCCCGGTAGCTGAATAGCTTAGCTCCAGCAGCTTTGCTGTTCTTCAACCGCATAATTGCTATCCGTACCACGTCATAGTCAGGCGATGGGACATCGAATCCGTCGTCATCCGACTGGGGGCTCGGGTTCGTTTTCCACTCAATAGGGTAAAAAAGTTTTCCTTCTATAATTCAAGTATGTTCTAGACATCGGTCACAATGTCGCATTGGTTCCGTAAGTCGCCTAACTCGCTGGTAAAATTTTGGGGCATTTTACCTGTCGGCAAGTATTTCAAGCTCTTCGCACTCATGTATTTCGGCCTCTCTCTTCTTATTACGGCAAATACATCTCGGTGCTCTCNAGGTCACAATGTCGCATTGGTTCCGTAAGTCGCCTAACTCGCTGGGCATTTTACCTGTCGGCAAGTATTTCAAGCTCTTCGCACTCACGTATTTCGGCCTCTCTCTTCTTATTACGGCAAATACATCTCGGTGCTCTCTTCAACTCCCTATGTCGGTCCCGCTTACCCACATTGCACCCGATCTCACGGTGATCCCGTAAGCGGCATTTTATTGGCATCTCAAAGTCATACTTTTCCTTCTAAATATATTGCTATATGTGGGAGCCCAACAAAGAGTGACGATGAGATTGGCCAGCGATGCCAACGCGGCATTAAATTTTCATACAATCCCTGGCTTGTGGTAAACTAAGCTTACCTGATGGTCCTCCAAAGAAAGATAAAAGCCGGTTACTTTGAACCATTCGTAAACACGGATATACTACTAAGTATCATTTACTACGGGTGGGCCTCACGCACTTTGCTTCTCTATCTAATTTTGAGTGTTTTTTTGGTGTCGAGGAATAAAATGTTCAAATGAAATGCTTTAACGTTTTCTATAGTAAAGTAAGTAAATATCTAAAGTTTTTATATAAATATGCATAATCTTAAACTTTCGTTTCGAGGTGCATATGAGAGAGACCAATGTCCTCCCCACATTGGTAAAAAGTTTGAGAGCAACTAAACAATTTTTGGTACCGCCAGTTTGGTGAATTCTCAAGCATTCATAGAATCCAATGTAAATTTGAGATTTTAATCATACCTGTGTGTCAGTTTCTTTGAAAACATAATCATATGAGTATTGTCTAGGCCGACTTTTGCCACCATCATCAAACAAAAGTGATTTTTCCGAAATGACATCAACACAATGGTCTGTGGTTTCTGCGCTTGGACGTACCCGCACCACAACCTAAGTAAATAAAATCAGCAGACACAGTTAGGACATGAATATTTACGATAGGTAAACACAAAAAAAAAAACAAAATCACAACTAACCACTAAACGTTCCTCTTGGGCACCACTTGCCGTTCCTAGTCCTCGACTTTGCGCTGCCGACGAGGATGAGCTGCCACCGCTGCTGCTTGACCAACAACCGTTTTGTGCCATTTTACGCGCAGCAAAGCGCGGTGGTTCACTGCTGGAGCGAAGCGTGACTGGATGTCGTATATTACCGGCTATAAATCATGGAAACATATTTTTTTACAAGTGTACGTATGTATGAAAGTATTTTCAATGGTATATGTTTAATACATACCCTGTAGGAATACTCAAAACTTATATGAAAGATGGTTCTACCCGTATTCCTCAAACTCGAATTAGTCTGAAAGTAAAGCAAATTTTGTTTAGTTATTTGTATAATATTTAACATGATACTATTGTTGTTGTTAACAACAACATATGTAAATATAAAAATCACTGCACTTCAAGCAGTTTACTTTAGCAGCTTTTCTGAATATAGAGGGTGCCTTCAACAATATTGAATCACCTATAAAAGTTTGTGTGGATAGCGGTGTAGTTGGTTGGATACGCTCATTGCTGGAAAACAGAATTGTTTAAGCGAAAAGTGGAGATAGTCTAATAATTAGATACATATGTGAGCAGAGGTAATCCATAGTGCCTCCCAATTTTTGTGGTCACTCTTGCGGATAGTAGCGTTTGAACCGCATACTGCTGGAACTCAATAGAGGATGGGTTACTACTGGCGATGATTGACGATATAGTGTTAGCAGTCACAGGAACTTTTCTTTTTACTGCTAGTGAAACCCTACAGGAAGCACTGCCTAAACTACTCACGTGGGCTTAATCAAGGGACCTTAACTTTAACTCATGTACTACTGGTTACACATACAAATAAGATACCCCAATTTAGACTTGAATCCATAGGCGGAAAGACAATCCACCTATCATCCAATGCAAACTATCTGGGAGTCATCCTAGACACTAAATTAAACTGGAAACTTAATGTAAAAAAGGCGTAAAGTTTAAGATGACCGTAGGCAAAAAGAACGCAAATGCCAAAACAGGTTCAAGCAATTCCACGCTTATAATTTTGGTATCAAGGATGGTCCTCGTTCAGGAAGGCTCACCAAAGTTGATGACCTAAAAAAGCAGAAAGCTTGTATTTTATTCCACATGAATAAAAAGTGGTTCATTTGATGTCGTATATAAAGACCTGCGTTATGTTTTTGAAACGCGAAGAAGACAATCCTTTTATGAAAGTAACGAGGGTGATGAGAAGAGGATTCATTACAAGTAACTTTTAAGCAAAAAACAAAATCGACTTCAATTGTAATAAAAAAAATTAAGATTATCGTTAATTTCTTCACGATCCAATTATCGGATCTAAACAAAATTACTATGGGGCCACCCTTGAGGTACCACCTTTTCGATGAAATCGGTTAAAGTTGTTCCAAAAAAAAAAAAATATTCCTGCGAACTGATAAGTTCCTCCTTTTTTTGAAGTAGGTCAATAACAATGTGGAATGCAAACAACCTTAGTGTGGAATTCCCCAGCAGGCTTTTCAGGTGTTGTGGTTATAGCTGAATTGAGCTGAACCTAATCAAAGGAAGGTTATGGTCTCAGTATTTGTATTTGCATTTTTTTAAGTTTGAAGGAATCTCACATTCAGAACCATCCGAAGCTTCTCAATCGTTATGTTCCATCACGATAACCCGCGATATATACATGTCGTGGTAGCCTTTTCAGGACACGCAATTGTCCAGATGTCAAGTTGTTTTTTAATCATTTCAACATGACGCAAGTAGTATTCTACTATGATTAAGCGAGTAATGTACAGAGGGCCTTATTTTCTCAAAATTTAACTATAAGAAAAAAAGTTATCCAACAAATATGGCTCAACTTGTAACAATTGACACCTAAAATAATTGAGGTTAGAATAAAGTTCAAATTTTAATTTTATTTATTACATTGGTATCGGATATAGAAAATCAGAATAAAAGATACCATTTCTTTAATACTTTTTTACTGAAATTTGGCACATAAAAAATGAATATATTCGAGAAACTATGGGTAAATTATAGTAAAACTGTGTACTTAGTTTTCCCTCTGACGTCAGGATTATTTAAAAGGACTTTGAAATTTAAAAAATTCGATTATTACAAAAAATTATGCAAAAAATTCAGTTCAATGTAGGATAATAATAATGGTATCATATAAAATCATTAGAATTATAACAGAATATATTTTTGGGACGAATGGGTATGGAAAATGTCCTTTACAAATTTTGTGCTTAAATTTTCTTGAAAATTTTCAATATTTTTATTTTTTTTTTAATTATTCTTTGAAGACTAATATGTATACGCACGACCTCATCATCGAATTTCGTCCTGCAAACTTTATTAACTTAAAACGATAAAACTTATAAAAACCGCATTTTTAATACCTAATCGTCCTTCTAAAACAAAAAAACTTTATTGTTTTTAAATGCTACAGAACTTTCTTTCTCATTTGGTACCCATATTTTTATTCTGCATTGCACTGATATTTTAAAATAATTTTTGTGAATTAATCATGTCTTAAAGATCTCAAAGTGCTTTGAAAAAAAATCCTGACATCAGAGTGAAAAATTAAAAATGCAGTTTTTCCACATTTGGCCCATAGTTTCGTGAGTATATCGCTTCTTTCGTGTGTTTTGAAAGTTTTTTGTTTTCCCCGCACGGTGTAATCATTTCTAGTATTTTTAAACGTCTTAAAACAAGTAACAGAAAACCGACTTCAATTCTCATATAAAAATTTAACAATATTGTTAATTTCTTCATGATCCAATGATCGGTGGTGCCACCACCTGTGAGATAACAACTTTTCTTTAAAAAAAGAATTATAGAAATCGGTTGACGTGGTCCAAAGTTATGCGGTAACATACATAAAAAAAAAAAAAAATATTTCGACGAATTGATAACTCAACTCTTTTTTGTGAAGTCGGCTAAAAGTAAGTATAGTGAAATCTGCACTTGTTCATGGAAGCAAAGCTTTAAAAATTATTATATCCATAAAAAGGGTGAATGCAGTTTGTTTTGATATAATAACCTTATTACTTCATTACCTATTGTTATTACTAAATATATAATTACTTTAATGTAATCATACCGTTACTAATATACTACTATTATTTACAACATTGTTGTAATCTGAAATCAGTCTTAAGCTATACAACTCTGAATATTGAATACATACGTCACCCTGACATGGAACGCATCTAACCTTTGGTAGACACTCGTACCAATGTACCATGATACAAAAAAACAAGGGAGTTCCATTGTCACTTTTTCGTCGCCATATTAACAACCTGACAATTAAGCAGATTGTGACATTTCCTGCTACCATACCCAATATATAAAATCTTTCAAATTTTCTTATTAATTTTTTGTCGATTTAAAAATATTTTGTTCTTACATGTATATTTTAAATTGTGTGAAAGCTGACAGTTTATAGAATTCAGTAGCGACGAAAACAAAGGGGGGTTAAGTGGTTAAACCTTACCCAAGCCGATCATAAAACTTGCGACGCAATTTCGGCTTATGCCTGTGGGTCTTGGCAATAATATAATCCCTGACGGTTTAGCTTAAAATGGTTTTCGGGATACACCCTGTGATCATGTTACTTTCCAGAAGGTGTCGCGCCCGTTTTTCTGTACATATTTCCGTTGGAAAAATACCTCATCTCAGTATTCTAGGTAAATGTTTCCAGAGATATCTATGCGTCACCATAATTTTAGTTTACATATTTGGTTTATACCGCTAACTCTTTTCAATGGCTACGAGATCGTTTTCATATACCCCCATTTTTCATAGGTTCTGGATTGATTGCAGTTACCTCTATTCCAAGTTCTACGGTGGCACGCTGCATTTTCCAATAAACTCATATTTTTCCATGAGCTTGAGATTGACTTCATATACATATATCCATACAGAGTTCCAGGACTCTACCACAAATACTTCCAGAGATATGAGAATTCGATTTGTGTGGGAGGTTCCACACGCCCTTTAGATATCGGTTTTGTTTTAGCCTATAACCATTCTTGGAAAATTTGTGTACGAAATTTCAAAAAAATCGGTACAGCCGGTATGGGCATTGTGACTCCTCAAACAAAATGAACTAATGATTGCAAAAAATGAAATCAAACATCATAGTTGACCAAAAAAGAATATTAGACTTCATTCTCTCAACTTCTCAGAATGTAGTAAAGCTAAAAAATATATAATAAGATAGGATATATTAAAACAGCCTCCAAACATTTACTAAAGACGCCCCAGGACTACACAAATCAGTTTGATTGAAAATTTATTTTTATCTATTTATTTTATACTTAAATTTTGGGTGTGTCAAAATTTCATGTGAAAACAATATGTGTTGCTAGAAAAATTTTACGGCCCATGGGTCCTAAAGTAAATTCCATTTGCTGTTAAATGGACAAAGACAATGAGTATTAAATAACACATCGACATGTGTAATTTCAGCGTCTGAATTACATCAGAATCATCGTATCCGATATAGAAAACTACATTGTGAAATAATGAGATGACATGAGGACACTAAAAAAATTTTAAAATATGTTCACTAAAATTGTATTAATATTAAAATAACGATTTGGCAAGTTGTCATCGAATTTAATGTAAAATTTAAACGTTTTTAAGATAAGATATTGATTATTTTTAAAAGGTATATATTAATACAACTGTTTTCTTATAATCCCAAATTTAGGATATAAAATCTCCCACACCAAAAAACTTACAATTGGGTAACGCCGCTTCCAATTTTTCACAATTGAGCAATTGTCAAAAATCTGCTTTTTAATCAAAAAGTTGTTTATTGAAACTACCTTGTTTTTTGTATCATGCCAATGTACATAAATAAACAATATTAAGTTTTAATGAGTAAATAACACTACAAAGGGTTACAACGCCTGAAGATATGCATTATTAAATAAAATAAGTTCGCGTTAACATCTTTGCTTTAAGGCGCGTCTGCTAACGCCTCTCACTGAGCTACTCAAACTTCCTTCGTCTCGTCTTCGCGTTAAGTTATGGACAGTTGTGGCGTTATTGTTGTTGCTCTAATATTTAGATGTTTGCTTTGTGTGCTGCGTGCACGTATTTGTGATTAGTTGTAAATATGTGGCAATGTCATTAGGTGCTACCATTTAAGGGTCAACCTTAAAGAGCGCTGAACTTAAACACAATTTTTATTCTGCTAATAGTTAGATTAACCAAAAAAAAAAAACAAAACAATACAAAATAAAATAGAAGTAAAGTAAGCAAAAAGTGTTTTATGGCCAGTAGGGTGGGGTTGGGTCTAATGGTTCACGGAATTGGTTTTTGGGAGTTTGAAGTGAACTGCTCAAGGTTACTTTTCTTTTAATGTCCATGTTAATTGGTTGTTTGTAAGTTATGTATGTTAACCAGCCAACGCCTTATTTTTATGGTGGAATTAATGGACTTTCCATTATTATTTCGTTGAATAGTCTTTACTATGTATTTCTTTTTGCTGTCTTTGCTCTGGTTGTCCATTAATTATTTAAGACAACATATGTATGTATGTTTAGTTTGGCTGATGTTCAAGGACGGCTGAAGGTGATTTATAATTATATATACTCTCAATTACACTACTATTAAAAAAGGGCATAACGACGAAACGTCCGATAACAGACTGATGCTGATCGAGTTCGTCGGGGCCCGAAATATGGTAATATGTAGTACTGGGTTCCAGCATCAGAATATCCTCCAAGATACATGGCGGTCTCCAGATCGAAAAACGAGAAACCAAATCGACAATGTTGCGATAGACGGAAGGCATGCTTCCAGTGTTTTAGGCGTACGTACACTCCGAAGGCCATACATCGAATCGGACCACTATCTTGTTGCAGCCAAGATACGCACACGCTTATGTGCAGCCCAACAATGCAAGGAAAACTTAACGTCCAAAAGCTGCAATCTTAACAGACGGCCAATTTACCTGCTCTCTGAGAGCACTCTTCAACAAACCGAGATATCCGAACAATGGAACCACATTTCCCGCCCATTACGTACCACCGCCGAAGATGTAGTCTTATTTCAGTGAGCCTACTTTGTGGAGAACCTGCAATCGGGCGCAACGCGAGCTGTGAGGGACCGCTGTATTTGCTGTAATAAGAAGAGAAAGGCCGAACCCGTGAATGCGAATAGCTTGAAATGCTGGCCGATAGGAAAAACGGTCGAACATTTTACCACAGAGTTAG